GGGCAAAATGGAAACAGAGGGCAAGTAGTTAGATCCATTACGTCCCATAGCTCACATATATCACATAGGTAAGAGAAAAAAATAATTTGGCTAATATACTGTATAATTCCATTTATGTAAAATTCAAAAACAGGCAAAAGTAACCTACGATGTTAGAAGTCAAAAGAGTAATTACTTGTGAGGGGGTACTACCTGGAAGGGGTTATGAGGAAGGTTTCGGGGGTGCTGGTCATGTTCTGTTTTTTTATATGGGTGCTGGTTACACAGCAATACACTGAAAATTCATTGAGCTATATGCTTATGTCATATGCATATTTTAGTATATATGCTTATACTTCAATAAAATTTACAAAGAAAGATAAGAAAATAAAAGCAGAAGAGGGCACTGATAAAAGCATGTTTTGACTAAAAAAATCTCAGCTTGGTTGCTATCTTAAACCATTAAGCCTACATAAGTGCTGCCCAATTTACTGACTCAAGTGTGACTCTCCATAAGAAAAAAAAAAAGCCATACGTCAATTATAGATCCTCTTTTTTAAACATAACAGAAGCCATAGAATGTTTAATTGACAAATATTCAAATGAATGGCAGACATCTTTTAAGTAATTCTACTTTTTACTGGCATATAATGATCACCTGATAGGAGGTTAGCAAGTCTGTTTTCTCAGATTTATCCTAGTGTGGCTTGTACTGTAAGTCAAAGGTTGGTCTGAAATGAACACAGCTGTTGGCCAAACTGAAAAACCACAAGCTCTCTGGTATAAACTCTAATGTATAGTTTCACTTGTGATAGCTAACTGTGCGAACTAAGCAAAATCCCTTCATATCTCAGAGTCTCATTTTTCCTCTCTGAGTAGATAAACATATTGTTCCACCTCAGAGAACAAGCAGTTCTGAGCACCAGTGAATTGCCTCCTATTATCTAGTTGAACAACAATAAGTATCAGTGATTGGAAACAAGAAAAATGACCTATGAACATTAAATAAATTTCCCAAACATATCAGGGGTATTTCCCAGGGTTACACAAGCAGAATGGCATTTAACTACAGGTAAGCAAATCAACCAAATCAACAAACCTTTACTAAGGGCCATGAGGAGATACAAAGAAGCAGGGACTTGTCCACTTGTCCTCAGGGCCAAAATCATTGTGACAGGGTTTTGGTATTTTCACAGGTGACCTCTTGTGCTTTCAGGATGAAAACACTGCTACAACAAGGATGATACCAAATTTAGAGCAAGTCAGCCATTCCCAGTTACACAAAGAAAACTATTTAGAAGCACTTGTAAGTGCCATCTCTGAATTTCAAGTAAATTCATGATGACGTTTAGCTAAGGGAGTGATTGGTTCACATGGGATTTAGAGCACACCAAAATGACACTTTTCAGATTTGCAGGATATATAGGGTATCACATGGCAAATAGGTTATTCAGAGATGCTTCTGGAAGTTCTGCATGGGATCCACTGTGCTAATGCCACAGCAGCAAGTGAAGATTCTTCGGTGTTAGCTGATTGTAGAAAAGTCTGTTCAGCAGCGTTCATGAGAATACCATCTTGCTCTTCTAAATACCTGATTTCATTCCTTTTAACTAGACATTCAACTTAGGCAGGAAAGCATCACATAAAACGGAATCAATTATCATCATCACCTCACCAAGGGCATTTCTTGAACACTGTCTACATGCAAATACTATACTAGATTCTCTCATATGTTAATATTTACAGCAACCTTCTGACATAAGTATTATAATTTCCATTTTACAGATGAAGAAACTGAGACACCAAGAGTGCCAGGACTCAAATAAAAGGATGTATGACTCCAAAGCCTGTACTCTTTCCACTAACCTTTCCTGGCTTCCCCACTAGAGACAGGAAAGAAATACATAGTCATTTGGCTGGTTGGTTTTCATCAGCAATTCTCCATGGAGGGGTTCACCACCCCTATGCATAACACTAATGATTCTAGAACAAGAAAAAGAAAAGTCAGAAAAGCAACAACAACAACACAAATCTAAACTTGAAAAATCAGTTTCCAAGTAAAACAAAACCCCCAAAATATGGATTGATGTAGTTGAACTGGTACAGAAAAGGAACAAGAATGTTCCAGATAGTTTCAAGAATCAAGTGTGGGTTCTGCCATCCAAAAAACAAAACAAAGTAGAAACCATTAATCACCTCTCTACTTGGAATAGTGAGTCATGGGACTTGGTTTCTAACTCTGCCCCAACAACATCTTACCCTATGACTTTGGGTAAGTCATTAAACTTGCTCTGTTTCAGTTTATCCATCAGTAAAATGAAATCAAATGAATCTACCTCACAGTGAGGTTTTAAAGAACAATTAATCTTAAAGCAACAACACTTTGATGTCTTATAAGAAAAACCACTGCAGTCAATACATGACTAATGCCATCAATGCAGAGGAATCACTACTAAATGGAAAACAGAAAATTCCAGAAATCATCCCAGCTGATCTAGGGTTGAGGTTCTGTGGGTGTGTGGCCCTCTTCTAAGAAGCAAAAAAAAAAAAAAAAAAAATGGCTCCTGAACTGCATAATCAAGAACCAATCAGAGAAATCTGAAGGGTGGTAAGCAGCCAAAACAGTACAACAATGATTCATTCATTCACCCATCCATTCAACAAATATATATTGAGCACCTTCTTTGTACTAGAGATGCATTTCCCCCCTTTCCTATACATTCAAGAATAAAGCTGAACCAAGCCCAGGAACTATGCAGCGTGGCCAGTTTCAGACTGTGGCCCAATACATAATGCAGGAAGGGACGCTGGAAAAAGGCAGTCTGAAAATTCTCTTCAAGCCTATGCCACTGGGAAGTCTGCTTTTCCAATTAGATGTAGTCTTTCCATTCCCTCCAGATGCCCTGGAGCACAGAAGTCATGCACAGACACACACACACACACAATGGTTCTGTACTACTGTATTAAATTATACTTATTTAAATAATTTCCTAGGTATGATATGAAATCTTCCTATTTGCCTCTTCTGCCTCTCATTAGACTATAGTAGATAGCTTCACTCCTGAGGAAAAGCCTACTGTAAACCCATTTGTGGCCAATCCTGTGAGTACTTGCCAAGCTGCCAGGAAGCTTCCCAGTGACTCCATCTTAGTTGAACTACCTGCAGAGCCTAATACTGTCCTTAGGGTACAGCTTGGAGGGCCTCTAAAGCAGCTGAGCAGGGTCTAGGGGGCATCAGCTCAAACCCTGAGACAGAAACCAGCAAATATTTACTGAGCATCTGCAATTTGCCAGTCTACACATACTGAAGAAGGATACTGTCCCTAAGGAAAGGGAAAGCTAAAAAAAATACCTAAGGTGCACACACGCACACAAATATATAAGCATATACATGAGAAGTAAAGAAAAGCAAGAGCATATTCACTTATGTATAATCTGTATATGATATCCAACCACTACTGCCAAGATAAAAATGTAGTGGCATTTCCCCTACACCTTGTTTCTCTGCCCCCACCCTCTTCAAACCCTTTGATGGCTTCTGTTGCCCCACCCTCCACTCCCCTCCCCAGTGCAGGCTGCCTTGGATACTCATTTTGACCTGATTTCTATTCCATCTGGTCAAACATGCTGGGAGGAGGGGAGAGGAGAAGGAGAAG